GCCCACTGCGGACAGATTCAAGTCACGTGAGCGAGTGGGGGCTGCAAATGGGGTTTGGGGACCTCGACATCGGCCTTTCGCACGTCAAGATGACGTTTACAATAGTGCACAATCTGCACAACGGCCCCTGTGATTGATACCAGCTCAAATGAGGGAAAGATTGTGGAATTGTTGTTGTAAAGTCAGCGGAACAAGAAAAAGGCAATGCATACATTTTCTCCGGCTGTTAAGATTTGCCTCTTCAGCGAAAAAAAAAATGCCTCGATTTGCGTTATGTAAGTTTGCCAACTCGATTTTCTTAACGAGCTACGCAATTAGAATCCAGCCGTTCCCGGCTTGTGTGTGTGCAGTCAACAGTGTCTCTATCTGCTGTAGGCGTGTGGTCAGTACGTGGGGAGCCCTGCATCCAACAGTGACATGATAAAGGGCCGTACATTAGTTTCATCATCATATCTACCCAGAGCACCAGCAGCCATTTGTAACTCTTTCACTGCACACGCAGCAGCAGCAGCAGCATGCAAGGACCATCCGCCTTCAACCAGCAGCTCAAAGCTCTCACACCCCGCCTGTTCATGGTTCACTTATAGTAATAGGTTTTTACCCTTTCAACTGGTACGCCTTTTGGCGTCATCTGGTCCAACACCAATAGAGACTACGCTCTAAGAAAATCTGTCTCGGGTGTGGACCAATCAACTTCAAGGACAGCGCATATCATCATCATCAGAGTTGTTTCTTTTTGTTTGCATTTTGACTGCTTGTGTTGTGGTTATTGCAAATATGATGCCTTGTTGTATAAAGGTGTCAGTTTTTGTACCAGTTGAAAGGGTAAAAACCTATTACTATATTTTGCCACTGGTAAAGGAGATGTCTCAATGTACATGGTTCACCTGCTCATGTCTCAGCCATTGAGGCCCTCGCCTGTTCAGCCTGGCCTATGAAGGACTTGAGAGCTCTGACTCCGTTTCATCGAAGTTCTCGATCAAACATCGCATCCTATTCGTGAAATATGTGCCCGCCATTAATTGATTATTGATTATGAACATAATCATCTTCATCATAAGTTCTTGATTAAGTCGGATGGCTGCGAAGGTGGGAAACAATTTGCAAAAAATTACGTTCATGTGTACCGACTTGAAAACTTAGTTCACCAACTTTACTAAACCATGTAACATTTCATCTTCTTGGTTCTTTCGGTAAAGTCACGTAGAAGGGAAATAATAAAATAATATGTTTTATTTGTATTGTTTTTTTATTATTTTTTTATTATTTCCCTTCTACGTGACTTTACCGAAAGAACCAAGAAGATGAATCCCTGCAGTCACGAAAGCTTTAAATCGACATGTAACAATTCTCGAATATAAAAAGGTGTGGAAAAAAAAGATAAACACGACAGTAAAATCAAACTCTTGCAAAAATGTTGTTGTTAAAACCATTCAAACAAAAAAGAGATGTCTTCAAGCTTGTTGTGGTAAGAACTGAATCACAAGAGCTGCCTAGAGAAAACGAAGACCATTTCGCAACCGTAGGGGTCCAGTTCAAGAGTTCAAAGCACCCGGTTAAGCCAACGGTAACTACAATATTTGTTCATCCAGAAAAATAATCCACTGAATCTCAAGCCTTTATCTCAGGAGGGCCCTGCATCATTGGGACGTTTGATCAATGTTTTGCACGAGTGTTTGGTCGTGATATCGTCACAAGCTTACCCTGGTTGATTTTTTTTTTGCAGCACTCACATGATAGACTCACGTCTGGCTGAGAGTACGAACAAAGCCATGCTCTGTTGTTCACCTGAGTAATCGATTCCTAGATTGGCCTCGTAATGACAGATCCAAGAACCGATTTGAAGGTAGAAAAAAATCGATCAGTTCCTTCGCTCTCCATGATCACACCAATCGTCGCCATTGAAACTACCCTCCACGCACCCACACACGCCCGTACAACCTCTGACCCACGTGGCATTTGTATTGCTCTTGCACATATACAGATGTAATTGTTTGATTAAGCTACGGTTACCGAGCAGGGAGGGAAGATGTAGGAGCATTGGTTAGGAGGGAGAGATGGGGTGAGGGAGGCGAGTCTGTGAAGTTAGTTTGCAAGGTGAAAATACCTTTGGCTAGATATCATTGCACGCGTGTATTAACGGACGATCCACACACTCTGCACCAGGTGGTACAAACAAGGGCCTCGCCAACATCCGTTGCCATCACTGGTTTGCCAAAAAAATAGCAGATGGACGTTTCGGGCAATGGATCTTCTGCAGATCAGAGCGAGATAGGGCAGAGAGGTTGACCGATTTTAACATCGGGAGATTTCATTTCACAATGAGAACCTGAGAAAAATGGGACGTGTTGAGAACGTGAGTGAATGAACGGTTTTTGAATTGACACGGTTAACAGTTTTCCACCGGTGGACATTACACGCATGTGAACCGTGTAAGAGCCGGTGTTTTACACCATTGGAGCCTCATTTGCCAGTAAAAAATATGATAATTGTTTTTTTACCCTTTTATCTGGCAACAAAACTGACACTTTTTTTTACGAGGAGTCATGTTTGCATAGACCACAATACGCCTTTTGGCGTCATCTGGTCCAACACCATGTGAGACTAGGCTCTAAGGAAAGCTGTCTCGGGTGTGGACCAATCAACTTCAAGGGCAGTGCACATTATCAGAGTTGTTTTTTGTTTGCATTATGACTGCAGGTATTGTGGTCTATGCAAACATGACTCCTCGTAAAAAAGGTGTCAGTTTTGTTGCCAGATAAAAGGGTAAAAAAACAATTATCAATTATCAGTCTGTGTTTTATCAAGGCCTGTGAAATCAAACAGATTTGTATTTACATTTGACGATTCATATACTGCCGACTGTGGATGTATTCAACTACGTGTTGGCTTTTTTTGATTGTTTGGAAAAGTTAAACCTTTTCAAGCAATTACAGCAAAACTCTTGGGGCTGCGGTGGCAATAACGCAGAATCAAACATCGAAAATTAACACCACATAGATGAAGGCCTTTTGAGAAAATACATAAAAATTAGTACTACACTCCTCCAACATATTGAGCCACTGGCCACGATTCAGAGCGATGAAAACTGTAAATGAGCGACTCCTGTAGGACGTGAATCACGTGTTGATAGAAACTGTTTCCCCCCCACCCACCCGACTTGATAAGAAAAGTCCATTTGGAACCAAATGGCTTGTGCCGGATGGAAAGTCATTTTCTTTTCAAATCTTGACCGCTTTCCGCCATGGTAGAAATCACAATAGTGAGTGGGGTGGGGTGGGTGGGGGTGTGACAGGGTGGAGCAGAGTCAGGATGAGGGGGAAAACGTTGTATCCGAGGTTCATCAAAGGCGGTTCTCACCGCGGTGGTGGTTTGTGCATCAAACCCACGTCCGCCAGCAGTCGACGTGGGGTTCGTGCCAAACTGTGTGGGTGCCCTGCGCCCCTGTGATGCGTCTACATCAAGCCAAGTTCGGGGAGAAAAATGTTTTTTCAACGAATGTGACTTGGAAGGAAAATTATCAAATATACTCGCGTGTTTTCCGGCAAGGAAACAAAAGCCTTGTCGGGTCTCAAAGATTATTTTGGAGCAGGGGACTTGTGTATTTAGGGAGTGTTAAGGCGGATTCCTTCAAAGTGTTTGGCATATGTGGGAGGAAACAGGAGCAACCGGGAAAAAAAAACCCCACGCATATACGAAGGGAGATAACACTAAAGTGCCCCCCCCGCGCACTGAGATTCGGTTATGTTCAATCCTCTGTGGTGAAGTACTGCCACCTTCTGTCCACCAAATTCCGTGAGCCACTCTTAAATAGGGGTGGTATGATCAATTGTGGAGTGTGTAAAAAAAAAAGTTAAGATATTTAAAAGAAAAAACCCTCGCACAATGTCAGGAATTAAAATGATTTGAAAGTCGTTTGCTGTGACGGGTCGTTAGATTTGCACAATGCCACAAACAACAGCGCCGCTTCTAGAGACGTACACAGCGAAGACTCCACAAGTAGTCCGTGCTACTCCAAGTCGTGCATCCTAAAATATCGAGTTTCTGCTCGCACGGGTCCACGGAAACAACTCCTCGACTCGTGGAGGAGGAAAAGAAGGCGAGAAAAAAAATCGCGATTTTGCGCGAAATTTTCTCGTCGCTTTCAATAGTTTTTTCTCCATACTCGTTGGTTTTTTCGGTAAAGTCACGTCGGTAAAAAAATTAAAATAAATTAAATCACGACGTTTCGGAGCTCTAAAAGCTCTCTGCACTTGATACAGTCATTTTGCTGTGACGGTTCCACCTGAAGACGGAAGCTTGTGTTGCCTCCGAAACGTCGTGATTTAATTGATTTTAATTTTTTACCTACGTGACTTTACCGTAAAAACCAAAGAGTATGAATCCTTGCAGTCACGAAAACTTCAAATCTAGAATAAAGTTTTTTTTCTTCCCATCGCAATGTATCCCCGATGAGAGTATCTAAAGATCGCAGCGCGGATTAGAGAAGTTTCACTGCATTCGCAGACCACAGCCATCATTATCCGATGTCACATTCCGTTGATCCTTAAACACAGGCAGCTATGCTTCAGCAGCGGTCGTAAACAAACTTTCACGTAAAAAAAAAGACGTACACACACACAAGATGCAGACGGGCAGCCGGGGAAGGTTAAGTTATCCGCGCACGAGTTTGTCAAGGAAACATAAAGCGGGTTACAAGAGACGATTAATTGACTGGGTCAGAAGACCTCCTTTGCCAGTACCAAAATATACTAATAGGGTTTACCCATTTTTTCCGGCAACAAAAACTGACACCTTTTGCAAGGAATCATGCTTACATTAACCACAATACTTGCAGTCAAATGCAAACAAAAAACAATACTCTGATAATTTATGCATTGTCTTTGAAACTGATTGGTCCACACCAGAGACAGCTTTCTTTAGAGCCTAGTCTCATATGGTGATCGACCAGATGACCAATCAGTTTCAAAGACAATGCATAAATTATCAGAGTATTGTTTTTTGTTTGCATTTGACTGCAGGTATTGTGGTTAATGTAAACATGATTCCTTGTAAAGGTGTCAGTTTTTGTTGCCAGAAGAAAGGGAAAAACCCTATTAGTGGGTCAGAAGAGTCAAGTGAGCCTTGGGCAGCACATGCTGAGGGAAATGATGGCCGGTGGTCCGAACGATGGAAGCCGGTAGCCAAAAAAAACCACCACGCCCCGGAGGATGTGTCCACAATAAAGCGGACAACCGAGGGCGAATGTTGATTTCTGGTGTAACTAATGAGTGTTCCTCCGGCAAACTCGCCGCCGTCTCCGCGGGGGGGTCTGCCGATGATTCTGGCCAGTCGTGCGAACTGCAACACCACTGCAAAAGTCGTACAAAATAAATAAACCACGCGTTGTTATAATTAAAATTCAACGAGAATGTACACACGGACCTTGGCAACTAACTCGACATTCACCGTCGACGACAGATTAAGTCGATTACTCCGTAAGTAGTTAGTTGCAACTTTTGTACATGTAAAAAAAAACGTTAAGCTGACAACAATTCACGACATTTGTACAAAAACATTTACATGAACCCAAGGTATGTAATTGAGAAGTGGCCCTGGGTGCCAAATTGGACAATATAATACTCTTTGGTTCTGTCGGTAAAGTCACGTAGTGTATAAAATAAAACAAAATAAATTACGTTTCGGGCGCACACACAAGCGTACGTCATCCTACCTGATGACGGGACGCTTGTGTGTTGCGCCTGAAACGCCGTTATTTATTGTTTTATTTTCTACCTACGTGACTTTACCGAAAGAACAAAACAGTATGGATTCCTGCAGCCACGAAAGCTTCAAATCAAGATTGTACACAATATATTGGTGGTGGGAGCAAAGTCAAAGCCAGGGTTGCAATGTTAGAGGTTATAGCTGCGAACCCAGAGGCTGCATCGATAGGTCACCAGTGACCTTCTGCAGCGGTATGATGATGCAGCCTCACCAGTTAAAATATTTTCTTATGCCGACGATACACAGAACATTGCGTGCATGTGAATCAATGTTTTACAATATAGGCAAATTGCACGAAATTCTTTTGCTAGGGTTACATTTGGGCTAACGGAGAAAACCAAACTGTACAAACGATAACAGAAAAAGGAAAGCAGAAACCGATACGTGCGAGATGATAAGAATAAGACAAACAGAACAGAAGTTTGGATAGAATCGCTGGGCTGGAGGTAATTGGTTGCAGGCTGATTTGTTCAGTCATGGAAGGCTTCCTCCTCTCTCTCTCTATCTCTCGAGGTTTCTGTACTCGGCTGCATTTTCAAACAAAACGCGCACGCGGTTTCGTACACCGGCGCAGAATTTAGTTTCATCCCACACCGAAAATCTGGCGAGACTGGTGAAAAACCAGAATCCCAATTCAAAAACAGGACCGCTGTTAAATAAATGCGGTAAAAATAAGGCCGGGATACACTCGGACCGGGTTCTTCAACTGGTGGCCCACGCGTCAAACGTAGCCCACAAAAGATTCTAGGAGTGGCCTCGCAGAGCTCTCAGTCCCATAGGCCAGAGCAGAAGTCGGTAACCACCCATCTTTAGCAGTCCCCATTCACTTATCACGGCCAACACGAGTGAATCACTTTTCATGACCCCTACTCGTTTGAAACCGTTATCGCACAATTCACTGTTATTGGCCACAAAGCCATTGGAACCACGAGAGTTCCACCACCTGAGGTTGGTACCGACAGGTGAATTATACGGCCCAGTTTCATGGACCACATGGCCAGCCAGAGAGAGATAAACAGGAGAGATGTCGCGACAAATGGTGCACAGCGTTCGCGTGTACAGATGCTATGTCGTCACGCGTGCTGCTAAAGCAAGCAAAGTTTATTGTGGCCTCCTCCACTTGGGCTAATATAGAGCAAGTGTCACGGTTATCATACACCGCCAATAGTCACCCAACCATTTGCTATCGTACCAGACAGATCACCGTCATGCTAAGCCATTGCTATATAAGTTGCCGTTAGAGAAGCCATTATTTCATTGAATTGCCAGCCGGAGACAAACTGACTTTAAATTGGCCTCCTCCTAGAGTTGATCGTGGCCTTATATTGCGTACCGATACAAACCGTGGTGCCAGGACGTAGATTTCAGGAGGCGTCTCTTTGTCACAGTGGAGAGCCGTGTACGTTCTCAACCGCTGCTGGGCAATGAGCGAAACGGCCGACGAATCGTCATCGCGCCGCGCGTGGCGCCTTGCCTTAGCAGCAGCGGCGGCAGAAGCTCGTTAGCGTAGGTTGCCAAGCGCATGCACAGAACAGCTGTCGACCGCTTGCCATTCCACTCGTCCGTCAATAATTTAAACGTTTCTCCTTCAAATCGGAAGTCTTTTTTTTTTTGTCCGGGCCAAAGTTCTCTCTTCTCAAAATCCCAGTTGCGTAGCGATCCTCCGGACTTGTCCGACGCGCCGTCGTCAGCTGTATTACGACCGTGCGGACGGAACTTCTGATCCGCGAGTCAACGGCCGGCAAAAAACTGTTTGCGGGATAGTTGCTTCCCCCGGCGTTCCATTGAAAGAGGCGCCTCCTCCTCTACAGTCGGTCATCCGTCCCTCCAACAACACGTGCTCTTGCTCCACCTTTGGACTGAACACGTACAGCCCTTGATGACGGGGTGCACGTGATTCAGTCAAGTGCAATTTACGTTTTTTTCATTTGATGCGATCATCGTTGATGGGAGCCCCGTGGTGATGCACCCCCCTCCTCCTCGCTCCGTGCGGAGACTCGGCGTCTCGAAGAGGCGCTGGCCCGGCGCTGCAACGTGGCGGCTTACGCTCTCCGCCGCCTCGCCCGATGGCTCTATTGACGCCGAGTATGGAAAGCGTCCGCGACAAGTGTTTTATTTTAAAGCAGATCCCAGCTTTCCCGGGCCGCCGGCGCGCACAGCGGCACCGACAGACAGTGGCTCCGGCCAGACGCCAGAACGCGGAGGAGTTTAAAAAAAACGGCAACAACAACCCCCCGACGCAGAAAAATGATGAGCGACCGGCAACTCCCGTTGTCATGCTTTCCGGGGCGACGGCATGGGAGCACCGTGCAGCAGCACCGTGCAGCAGCAGCAGCAGCAGCAGCACATGCAGTGACGGTTGGTGGGGGGGGGGGGGAAACTGGGTGGACGCCCACTGGCTCGCTATCTCACTGGCTCGCAGGCGTGCCAAGCCTGTCCGGGAAGGCCAGAGGCGGTCATCTAGCGGTCTGCATCGTGAGCGAGTGGAGTCTTTTGGTCATAGGTGAGGTCGTGGCCACGGGAGGCGAGGGGGGAGGTGTGCGGGAGGGGGGGGGGCAGGCAGAACGGTGGAACGAGCCCCTTGGGTGGTCGAGGGTGGTGCGGTTCATCCCAGATGCCGTGAGTATGCGAGAGCGGATGCGTGTGTGTGTGGTTGCGGCTGCCTCGTGTGTTTAGAGTTGGTGCGATGCTCTCAGGACACTTGCAATTGAGACTATTCTGCTCTCTTTGAGTCCTCACCTGGTTAAAAACCCCCAAAACAAACTAATATAAGTACACGCAGGTGCGCACAAAAGGTACGTATGTGCACCTTTGCACAAGCGCACACACACACGGGCGTTTGAGTGTAAGTGTTTGAGAAGGGCAACGAGTAGGAATTGAGTCCAACGAAGTACGCTTCAAAGCATGCCGACCCGTAAGTGTGTGCACGAGCGTGTGATCGCGTGCATAAGTGTGCGCGCGCACGTGTCCGGAGAGCGCCCTGCGAGCGTACACGGGTCCGAATTTGTGCCCGTGTCCACGCGTACGTGGCCCACGAGTTAACGGCACTTCGCCCCAACGTTACGTATGGCTATAGAGGGGACTCCTTGCCTCTTTGTGCGTGTATAGGCGACTTCACGAGCGCATGCACGAGCCCTCTCGCGTCTGCGCGCGCACGCGCGAGCGGCAATCGGGCCGCCATCGGCCAGTCTACACGAGCGTGGGGATGACCAGGTTTGGTAGTGGTGGTGCGGCTGGTGGGCTGGTCGGGGCAGGATGGGTTGGGGTCGGGGACCGCCGACTCCTCGGCCTAGCAGCGGTAGTCCTTCTTGTTGTACGGCTTGTTCCCCAGGATGCTGTCCAGCTCCGTCACCACCTGAGCGGTCAGCTTCGGAAGCACCTGCCGGGCACCGAACAACATGTGCGGGTCAAACCAGAGCGCGGCGGCGGCGGCGTGGGCGGCGCTCCCGAGAGCGTAGCACTTTGGAAGCGAGGCTTGGCGGATGGTAGCGAGATGACGTGCGCAGGGGTGGCGCGCCCTCACCTGGATGGCGCCCAGATTCTCAATGAGCTGCTCCGTGTTGGATGCTCCGAGCAGCACCGAGCTCACGCCCTCGTTACGCAGGCACCAGGCTGCTCCCACACGCACAATCAAGGGGGCATGCAAACGCACACAATCATCCGATATGAGGAAGCCACTGGAGCTACGGCACTTTTAAACGTGGATTTAAAACTAATTTCTGTAGAACTGCTTTTTGTGTTTAGTTTGTTGTCCTTCCCTACACACCTCCGATTAGCGCGGTTGGCTACGTACGGTGCGAAAGAAGTTCAGCATACATACATCATGGGCACGCAAACACGCACACAAACGCACAAGCGCACTCACACAGGCACCAGTGCACAAGCAAATTGGGGTGAACACCATTCCCTGCTGCCTTTTGCCTGTGCCACCAATGGGTATTCGACAGAAGGGAAGCCCTGCGGGTTACACCCTGCCCCGTGTACACTCTGGAGTAACACCCTGGAGTAACACCCTGCCCCGTGTACACCCTGCAGTAACACCCTGCCCTCTGTGCCCTGCGGGTTACACCCTGCCCCATGTACACCCTGCAGTAACACCCTGCCCTCTGCACCCTGTGGGTTACACCCTGCCCCGTGTACACCCTGCAGTAACACCCTGCCCTGTGTACACTCTGCAGTAACACCCTGCCCGGTGCCCTGCGCACACCGTGTGCCCCACACTGCGTCGCTTGCCCTCCGCCCCCCACGCTTGCACCATCTGTCCGTGCGTCCCCCGCGTCCCCCTCACCGATGGAGAGCTGGGGCAGCGTGCAGCCGAGCCTCTCCGCCACCATGAGGATCTCCTTGAGCTTGGCCTGCTGCCGGTGCCCCTCCTCGCTCGTGATGCGCTCCTTCAGCCACTGGTAGCCCTGCCGCACGGCAACGCAACGGGCCGCGGGTTAGTCGTACGTGACGCAGGTAACGTCGTGACGCAGGTAACGTCGTGACGCAGGTAACGTCGTGACGCAGGTAACGTCGTCGCGCGAGACTCCGGTGACGTCCCAGCACGCTCACATTGCGGCTGTTGCTACCGTATTTTTCACATCTTTATACTGCACACAAACAAGAGAAAGATCGCCCGTATGGGCTTTAACAGACTGTAGGGGCAAATGCTGCTAGCGAGTAGCAGCACCTACGAAGGGCGGCACAGCACAGGAGGGGGTGGGTGGCCAGCACCTCGTCCGGTTGACTTTGTCTCCCCAGCGTGATGTTTATGCATCGCACCAGGTACTCATCAGAGGTTGAGTCGAACTGAGAGAGGCCCAGGACCGGTTAAAATATTCATCACTGTTATTGTTTGCGAGCGGGAATCGAACTCGGGTCGCCGGGTTCGTAGCGCGGCATGCCGACCGCTGCGCCACCACTCCCCACTGCGCACGCACACACGCACGCAGGCCCACGCCACACGGCCGCGCGCTCACCTTGAGCGAGGCGCGCGAGTACATGGGGATCCCGTCCTCGTACTTGCCCGTGATGATCCCGCACGCGAGCGGGGACCAGGTCATGGCTCCGACGCCTACAGAGAAAACAAAGATCCCCACCCCCCCACACCGATTAGCCTTAATAGACTGTCGGGGCAAGTGCCGCACCTATGAAGGCCGGCACGGCACACGATGCCTACGCAAGCACGCAGGGGGTGGGGGCGGGAGGGAGCAGAGCAGACGGTTGCATCGAGTGACTGTGGAAAGGGGGGGGGGGGGGTTAAATTCGGATCAACTTTTATTTTACTTTTTTTATTGTATTTTTAGCAGGTAAAGTCCATTGATTTATTATCTCTTTTCCAGAGGCGACCTGACAACAGGTCGCCTTTGTTAATTTATAGTAGCCAAATCATAAGAATAGGGTTTCCCCTTTTTTCTGGCAACAAAACAGTTGTGTTAAGATGTTAAAACACCAAACTGAAACCTTTTGCAAGGAATCATGTCTGCACTCACCACAGATACTTGTGGTGAAAATACAAACAAAAAACAATACTCTGATAATTTATGCATTGTCTTTGAAACTGATTGGTCCACACCAGAGACAGCTTTCTTTAGAGCCTCGTCTCAAACATTGTCAGTTTGGTGTTTTAACATCTTAACAACCGGTTTTGTTGCCAGAAAAAAGGGGAAACCCTATTCTTATATTTTGGCAAAGGAGGTCCCATTATGTTGCCAAATCATCTTTAACACATGTTGGTTCGGAATGCAGAGGGGTAAACTGGAGGTTTCAGAGGAAAATCCACGCGAGCACCACGGGGGAAAAAGAACACGGGGACTTCCAAATACACAACAGGTGTCGTCAGGGTCTGGGATCGAACCCTCGCCCTCGTGCCTAGCAGGCGAAGGAGACGACATCTCCTCTCCGCCTGTGCGCTGGCCACACGGCGAGCACATCGAGACGATGAAAGCGAGAATCCCCCCAAAAAATACCAAACGATTCTTGAATCGGAAACCTGCAATCGTGACAATTCATCGAATCGCCGGAGAGTTGAAACTATTGACACGCTTGGTGCAGAGGAGCAGCGAGTGACGTCGCGGGAGACCTTGGGGGACGGTGATGTCACGTCCCAAGGGGGTATTTAGGGGGAAGCCCGTGACGTAAGAGGGGTCGACGTGGGAGCCGGGAACGGGAGAGGTTGTAGGTTGGGACTCCGGGGTAGTGGATCCTCGCACGAGGCTAAGGGTGGCTACTTCACCCGACCGGCCCAAGTTGGTTGAGCCCTCGGCCGGTGCAGGGAGGAGAGCCAGATAGCCGGAGGTGGTAGGATCCCCAGTACCCCGTCGCCTGGGGAGTTAGAAGCTAGGGCGTCCCTTGTTAGGCGTAAGCCCGTAGTAAACTTGGCGTGAGCCCCCTACAACTCACCTGCCTCTGCGTCGTAGTTTGCACCACAACACATGCGAGGCACAGGTGTGTGTCGTGTGTCGTGTGTGTGGGTGCTTGCGATGAGAATTTTCCCACCCCAAGTCTTGGTACCTCCTCCACCCACGATCTCTGACATCACCACAGCATGATGCTATAACACAGCTAATGGAGATCTGGCAGGACCTGGCAGAACCTGGCGGGTACTGATGGATACCTGGCAGGACCCAGCAAGGCGCGGACCGCACAGCTATTGAGAGTAAGCGAGGGCACAAGCGAGCGACCTACTCCCCCGGACACGCTTGCGCGCTGCTCACCGATCTTGTGGTAGAGCTCAGGCAGCTGCACCTCCACCTTCTCGCGCTGGAACAGGTGGTACTCGGCCTGCTCGCACACCGGCGGGATGAGGTTGAACTGCCGTGCCACCGAGTACGCCTCCTGCACACGTCAAACAAAGACCCGCGCCCATACAGCCTTGAACAGACTGTTACGGCAAGCGCTGGAAGCGAGCGCGTATGAAGGCCGACATGGCACACGAGAGGGTCGCCAACACTACATCACCACGGTCTCTCCAGTGGTGATGTTTTACACACTCCAAAAGGTACTCATTTAAGGCTGAGTCGACCCAGGGGAAATCCGGGACTGGTTCAGATAATCGTCCGTGAGCGGGAAGTGAACTCGGGTCGCCGGGTTCATAGCGCAGCGTGCTAACTGCTGCACCACCGTTCCCCACGTACACACGCACGCACGCACACGAACGTACGTGAGAGCAAGCATCACTGAGAATCGAGATTCTTACATCCGTCCACTTCCCATGACCAGGTCAAGGTTCACTGGGGCATCAGCCTCACAGTTTGCGATGTGATGAATTCAAGCCTTCGGTGGGAGTCACGTTTTTACAGTCCCTCTCAAGAATCTTAAGAATTCTGCCAAGCGTCGTCAGCGTTGGTGTACGGTGTTTTTTCTGAAATATTTTGCTGTCTTTAATTGGATTTTCTGTTTGCACTCAGTCACATTCACTTTAAGATGTTTATCTGTCCATGTTTTTGTTTTTTGTTTGTTGCGGTTGCACCCGATTCAAGAGCCGAATGGCTCACAGGGCTATATCTAATAAATGAACTTGAACGATCTAATTTAATCTCGATGTTTGTGCGGTGTGCAGTCATTGGATGACCGTCGACTCGGTACATTTGAGGGCACGGTTTCATCGCAGGCAGTTGAAACCAGGATTCAATGCACGTGCGTACACAGCACCTGCTCCAAAAGTCTGTTAAAGACTATACACTGGAACGTGTCTCTTTTATTCTTATCTGTGTGTATATGCATGCACGTGCATGCGTCTAGGCAAGTGTGTTGGCAAGTGTATAGCCACGTGTGCATATACATGGGCACGTGTGTAAGTAGACAGGTGTTGAACACGTACCATAATCTCCATGGCACTCCATCGAGATGTACCCCAGTACATGGACATACCCTGGTTGATGACGTACGTCATCGCCCGGACAATCTCTGTGCCACGCAAACGACACACGCACACGCACGCACACAGATGGTACATACGCACACATACACGGGCGTGCGTACACGCAAGCGTCGTGACGAGCAGTTGTTGTTATTAAAAAGCGCAATGTCAAACTCACAGCAAAAACCCGCGCGCGCGTGCGTTCATGCATATGCATGCATGCTGACGCACGCACCCACGTGACTCGCACGCACAGACGCACGTGCGCAAAAAGCCATCGCGAGCGAGCCGCTGCTGCGAATCCAAAGCCGAGGGGGTTCACAAGTTTCCCAACTTCCAGCGCCGCGCTCCCCTCGTGTGTTTACAGCGGCAACGCTCGGCCCTATTCACGAGAGCGGCTTGCAGCTCGCTCGGGGAGGGGGTGGGCAGGGGGGGTGGTCGTCGCATCGGCAACGGGCCGGCAGAGGAGACTCGGAGACGCTCTGTGCTCCAGCGGGGGCGGGAGGTTTCGCCGCGTCGGTGGCCACGACAATAACAACAACGACACGGCCACGCGGTCGGCTGCGTCGAGCTGGCGGCCCAGATATTGCTGAGAGCTGGGATTCTCAGCACTAGCTCCGCTGTGTCCACTTCTGTGGGCCATTCCCTTGTTGACACCGAGGGTTGCACCGCGCTGTTTGAAACGCGAATGGATTGTGCCACCTCACGACGTGATGCAGATAGCGCAGTCCGACTAAACCGTTGATTGTTGTTTTTAAGAAGTTTATTCTTAGGAGGAGACATTGAAAAGAGGGCGCACGCACGGACTTGTGCGCAGAACATTGCAGACCGTGAAAGGCTTAAAAACCACAACCGGCGGATGCATCAGAATATTTATTTAAACTGGAGGAGGAATCCGATCAGCTATAAAGCTTTTTTGCGCAGATGTCCAGTCGGGGCACGGGGCCAGAAAGTCACAACAACAACAAACAATACAAAAGCACAATAGGAGTGCAAAGTTCGCTAAAAAATAAAAAGGTGATCAAGTATAATATAAGTACAAATTGTAAAAGAAGATTGTAAAATATTTATTTTACGTAAAAAAAAAACTAAATCTGCTGCACGCTGTTGCCATTCCGCAGTTTACGCAAACTTTGGTTCCATTTGGGACGTATCAAAACATTTCGTCTGGGAGATTAAATTCGTTATAACGCCACACAATGCCATTGTTTGTCAAGCTTTGCTGGGGGGGGGGGGGGGGTGGGGGATACATCCACTTTTATTAAAACATCGACCTTGTCTGCTCTTTTGAAAACGTTGCCCGAGTCACCGCCTGCGTCGCTTCCAAAAATGTGACCCTCATAATCCTTGCGATTCCAAGTTAATCAAGTCATAGCTCTTTGCCTTGACGCGGGGACCAATTCAACACCTTTTCAAACACGGGAGTTGTTTTCTTTCACTACCGAACTTGACCGCGTCGGTCGGTGCAGCTCGTGGAAGAGGGAGGGGCCCACAGATCGGTTCGCGTGAGGTTCATCACTACTTAAAACTGAAACAGGAACAACTTCATCTTCTTGGTTCTTTCGGTAAAGTCAAGTAGAATGGAAATAATAAAATAATAAAAATAAAACATAATAAAATAATTCTCACGACTTTTTTTTATGTTTTATTTTTATTATTTTATTATTTCCCTTCTACGTGACTTTACCGAAAGAACCAAGAAGATGAATCTCTGCAGTCACGAAAGCTTTCAATCGAAAAGGAACAACTTCTTCGCAATTTTGGCCATCGTCTGATGGCGCTGGTTGTAAGCACCAGCAAAACGTCGTACAACTCGAATTGTCAATGTTGTGGGTTTACTCTCCAAACACGCCGGCGCGTGCTGAAGTAGTCACTCACTGGCGCGCTTTGTTTTACTGGTAGGAACCTCCTGGTTACACCAGCCCACAGGCGATTATTGTGTCCGTCCGTCGTGCAGGGAGGGTGGGGGTGGGGAGGGGCTGGGTGGGGAGGGTGGGTCTGGGTGGGGAGGGGCTGGTCACCCCGTGGTGCCCTTATAAAACTCAACGTTTAACCTACTCACGCCGGCTTGTGCCCGCCCTCTCAGTCGGCCATATTTGCGGAATACACCACGCCGCCGTTGACCCTGGCCATTGACCGAGCAACCCAACGTTCCTACCAGCTCCCTCCGCAGGAATGTGTTAGTGACAAACCTTACTGAATTGGCTGTGTCGGGTGGTGGCAGGGATAACAACACATTTATATTCACGCGATTTACACCCAACTTTTTTTCATTACGGAGCTCACCACCGATGTAAGCCGTTGTGGGGCGAACGAATCCAGTTCGCTGGATTAGTCGAGCAGCACGTTAATGACCGCCGCACAATTGCGCAAATTTTGCCCAAAACGTGCTACGTCACTCGCTTACGGCTCGAGAACTAAAAGCCGTGAGCAAGTTACTGACGAGCGACGAACCCCCCCCCCCCCCCCCCCCCCCCGAAACGTGTTGAAACAAAACGAACACAAAAAAAAATCCACTCTTTAAATTGCGTAGAAACAGGTGGCAACCCAAGCGGTGAAGTATGGTCAAACAACTTGCTCAACTGACACAGTGGGGGTCATGGCCATCATCCAGCAGTGGAACGACAAAGCAGGAAACACTTCCACACACACAGGGGACCTACTTGCAGTGCTGTCATTGTGCCTCTCAAACAGAGTTGCTCTATTTCCACGTACTAAATGCACGCCGACTCGGGAGTGAGCCATGGGCTATTGTTATTTTGTTGGCCAACAGGGGAGTTTAGGGAGGTTGAGGAAACTGTTCTGGTGAATATTACCGACATCCTCTCCCACCGGGAGCTGCGTGGATTTTTCTCCGGGACCTCCGGTTTTTCCCCCCTCCACATTTAGAATCAACGTCATGCGTTTAGGATATTTGGCTGCTATAGATTTCCACGTGATAAGCCCCTTCGTTGACACTATCATTTGTGACGGCCAGGTCGTTTCTGAAAGACACCGATATCGCTCAGTGGGCCCTTACCTGGTAAAAATAAAAGAAATAAGTAATATAAAAAAAAACTTTTACTTAAAGTAATAAGTCTCCGTCATCAGGTGGGACCGTCACAGCTGTGACGGTCCCACCTGATGACGGAGACTTGTGTTGCCTCCGAAACGTCGTGATTTATTATTTTATTTTATTTCTATTATCACTTTAGTAATTTTTAAGTTTATTTTTTTACCTACGTGACTTTACTGAAAAAACCTAAGAGTAATGACGGACGCTTGTGTTGCGCCCGAAACGTCGTGATTTATTTTATTTATACCTACGTGACTTTACCGAAAGAACGAAAGAGTACGTTAAGTAAATGTTTTGTAACTGGTTAACGTTTTGTCGTTGGTAAGCCGCATTATCCGCAAAACATTTGGCAGGCGAGCCGCGTGCATGTCCGTCACGGGAAGGGTACACGGCTCGCTGCGGAGGATGTGGAGTTCTGGGAGGGAGCGCGTGCCCGTGACGTCGTGGCGATGACGTGCGGGTTGGGTTCTGCCTGTCGTTACCATTACGATGACGCTATTGCGATGACGCAATGGTAACGGAGGGGGGGGGGGTTAAACTTTTAGTTTTATAAGGGCACCACGGGGTGACCAGCCCCTCCCCACCCAGCCCCACCCTCCCCACCCCACCCTCCCTACCCAGCCCCTCCCTGCACGACGGACGGACACAATAATCCCGTGGGCTGGTGTAACCAGGAGGTTCCTACCAGTAAAACAAAGCGCGAGTGGGGTCAGGAAGGGTTGGGACTAAGCCTTTGAATTTTGAATATCAGGGTACCCTTTTTGTATAAACTGTACCATGTAGTCTTCTTGGTTCTTTCGGTAAAGTCACGTAGAAGTGAAATAATAAAAGAATAAAAATAAAACATAATAAAATCATTCTTACGACACTGTCTTTCCGACAGACCTGTTCTTCACCTGAGGACGGCTGCTTGTGTTGTGGCCGAAACGTCGTGAGAATTATTTTATTATGTTTTATTATTTTATTATTTCCCTTCTACGTGACTTTACCGAAAGAACCAAGAAGATGAATCCCTGCAGTCACGAAAGCTTTACATCGAGAAATGCACCATGTAGAATATGCAAACATTTAACGAAGAAGCACCTCGTACGTTTACCCCGAGCACATCCTCCGATGAGCAACGGTGCTCAATCGGAAAGAAGATCAACGTACATACGCACATCCTGTGCATCCACCACCAACGGCTGCAGCCCAGTCGACAGTTAAAATGCGCGGCTCTGCGACAATCCACTTGTCTAATAACGGGCCCCTACCCCCACGGCTGCGTGTCAGCCTCATGGAGGTTGTTTGAACGACACTTCATCATGGCCCTGTGAGTGCGGCATGGCGAAGGAGGGAGGGCCGCTTCAGATATCGCTCGCCACTGATGTTAGCCACGGCCGGCAATCGGTAAGTCGGCCCACCTGTATGGACCTTATTGAAATTCTTTCACACCGTACGTAGCCGAACGTGGCTAATCGGAGGTGCACGAGGACGACAAGCTAAACACAAAAAAAGCAGTTCTAAAGAAATGAATGTTCAATTTAAATTCAGAACTTGTTTAACAGCACGGTGGCTTGTTCAAGCACTCCCCCCCTCCGCCGCCACCGCCCCGATCCACAAGTGAATTTCATGCAGACACGGTCCCCCCGTAGCTCCGCTTAAGTGATGAAAGAGAGGCACCGAGCGTTTGTTGACGCGTTTCATTGTGCGTTGTTTTGTTTTTCTTCCCGTGGGTGTGCGCTGGGTGTGAGAGCGGCACGGAGCTCCGGCTCCCACAAGCCCCGGCGGTTCCACGCGCCGTCCTCCCAGCCCTCTCCACGACGCATCAACCGCGAGCACTCGCCGTAGCAGAGCGATACTTGATTTTTAAAAAATGTATTTATTTTTAAATCAACGTGACGTACTTGTTTGCATCAACATCCTAAAACATTCACAAAATGTAACAGGAAAACTACCGCTGTGTTTTCTTTTCCTTAAAATAACGCCGCAAATGATATTTCCCAGGAAAGG